TGTTCAAATAAAAGTTGTTTATGATATCATTCTCTATAATTCTTGTTTTATAAAATAAATAATTTCTTTAAAATGGACCGTATTCAAGATATTTGCGAAACTGTGCAAATTTCGAATTCTGAAGATAACACAAAAACGGATTAAGAGGAAAACGCCAAATATTAATCAATCCTGCGGTAAAATGATTAATATTTGGACATAATCGGAACATCTGGGGGGTACTTGAGGAGGTCTTTTTTATTTTATTGAATATATCTGCTTGGAGAAAAAAAATCCTTAAATAAAATTTGCTTGTTATGTAAATCTTTATTTTTTTTTCTTTACATAATTTTTCTAAAATGGTCCATTTTTTGTAAAAAAATTTAAAATTTGACAAAAAATGAAATATTTAAATTTTTAAGAAAATTGTTCTAATAACAGATATCAATCTATATAATTTTTGTCAAATACATAATTTCTCTAAAATGGACCGCAATGAAAAAATTTAAGGAAAAATGTAAAATTTTAATTATTCGGTATTTTTGTTGGCAATGGATACATGAATTGAACATTTTAAGTTTATGTTGACATTAAATGATGAAATAGCTGATCAGATCATATCCCAAGGTTGCCAACTAACACCCCTGAAAAGATTGTACACATTCATTGAATAGTTTTAAAATTATAAAATTTGTCTCTTTACTTATTGAATGACCCTCGTACATAGGTTGTACAAAATAACCGAAAAAAGCCTGTAATCACTAGAAAGGAAAGTATATGTTGGGCACGTCAGATTTATTGAATTTACAAAATAATATTTTAATGATTTAAAATAAACTGCCAGTATTAATAACTATCTGTACCCAAACATATACAAAGTGAAATCATAAAACGACGCATCAAAAAAGCACCAAATTATTGTTATAATAAACTATATTAATTTGATTAACTAAAAACTACTATATGAGCTTATAAACATTTTTTTAAAAGAATTTTAAAAGTAAAAATGTAAGTTCCTAGAAGAGTACTGTAACCTAATGCACTAAGGTACCTTAATAAATTATTAATTCCGTTTATTAAAGAAAATATTACATTTTTATTAAATTCAAAATCCTTCAATTAACAAAAAATCTCCCAGATAATTAAATCTTATTTACAACACATCTCGACGCTCAACGTCCCGATGTCATCTCTTTTATCCGACGCTCTGCGTCCCGAATGCCCTATATCCCATTCGACGCTCTATTTCCCTACCTTTCTACATCATGACACTCTCTCTTATACGACGCTCTGCGTCCCGACGCCCTCTCTACGCCCCGCCGCACAACATTCCGACGCTCAACGCTTCTGTACTCTACGTCTCGATGCCCCTTCAATATTTTCAAATCAGCAACACCTCCACGTATAAACAACAATATGAAAACGTCAGAAACAGATGTTGAGTCCATAATTTAAAAGATGTTTATTATTATAGAAATGTACTGTTCATTAACGTCGCATTTGGGCCGCTAGATGGACACGTCTCAGAATGCATTTGCCGTTTTATTATACCAGCCTAAAACTATTTAAGAATTTGGTCTACCAAAATGCCGATACACCCTCGCTAAATTAACCGCTCAGATGATTGAGGTAAATGACACTTCGGAATGCTATCTTACACAAATATGCTGATGTTACTGCAGGGTTGGACTATCTTAAATAATTATATATCAATCTTCGCACCGTAGGTATATCTGCACATAAGGGGTAGTTCGCTAGTATTGATCCGGCTCTATTCTAGTAGGACTACACTACATGTGAGGCTGAAACATAAGTGATATCTGTCTGTTATTGCAACGACTGTATCTCAGTAAACGCACCTATATAAAAAAACGACAAAACAAAGAATTATTAAAAATTCTGAGGACATCTTCAACAGTATATTATATTTAATGGCTGTGGTCTGTTTATTTGGCTGCGACATATGTGAAGTCTCGGTGAGAAATATAATTTCTCATTCCCCAATTTAAGTAATGGTATCACTATTTTATTTGAGGAAAAAATAAATAAGTTAAATATAATTTGAATTTTATTTCATTCACAAATTTGTACGAAACTTTGCATATAAAGTAACATTATTACAACGTTACATGCTTTTAAATAATTAAGACGCGACCGAGGGGTGGGCGGTTACAGTACCTAATTCTTTGCATAGCCAAATTTATATTTATGGTACAGAATTTTTAAAATAAATAAAGTTTCAGGTTTAAAATTAAACACAAAAGTTTTATCAGGAATAGCACTTTCTGAAAAGAGTAACAAGTAGGCTATTTACGAGACATTGTATATATATTTAGAGGGCAATCAATATTATATTAGAAAAATAAATAAACATTTTGTATAATCACTTAAATTGATTTACCTTTTAGAATATTGTATATATTTTTTATAAAAAAGATTTATGTTCTATAAAATCTTTCTTAAATTTTTTAACAAATATTTTAATTCAAATGTATTAACATGCACGTGTTAAAACAATACAAAATACCTTAATCCGTCTCTAGTTATCGATTTTAAACAAGAGAAGAGAAACAGCGAAGTCAGTAAAAAACTTTAATTCGAATAAAAAGCGTTCTTTCTCTTCACATTTAAAAAAAAGACTAATAAACCGTTTTGTAATCGCTTTTCGATGATTTTTCGTCTGATTTATTACCTTGAAAATTATATGATCTATATAAAAAACAAACAAAGCAGACGTGAAATAAAAATATGTTGTTATTTTCACAGTTTTGAACTACACTTTCGTTCCATACAAAAAGAAATGCGATGTTGTCAAGCAAGTTCTTCTCTAGATATTAACACATTCTATAATTTGCTTTTTAAATTTTTTTAAAATATTCTTTAGTATTTTCATAATTTGGGAAACAGTATAGCATTGAAACTGCTATACCCGAAAAATTGTACGTACGCTCTTAAGTAAAATACTTTTGCATTTTCCGTCACATATAAGAGATAAATATTAAATTAGTACTTATGTTTTTAAATAATTATTTGGCCAAGAAGTATAAAATAAATTGTTTATATTGTAAGCTTTTAAATTACCAACTCCTATGTATACGTTTTATTTATTTTTGTGTCTATTCTAGTTAAAATTAAATAAAGATCAACAATACTAACATGGTAAAATTTTGTAGAGAAACCTTTATGACATATTTTAAAGAAACTGTAACGTGAATTTTAAATAAAAGGTTGCCTTAGTAAAGTCTTTACTGTTTTATTATGAAATTGGCCCAAATAAAGGCGAATTCCACTGCCTCTATCCCTTGATACTATTCTATTATGTTGAAAATACATATTTATGCAGATTTTTTATTTCTTTGTGTTGTTTTTATAATTTGATCAAATTAACTTGTAAAGAAAAATGAAATCGACATATTATTAAAAAGGCCTTTTTGTGATTTACAATTATTATAGTTAATCTAACAGTTTTAAAGTATATCGTTAAATATAAATCTATAATTTACTGTAAATACCTACGTTTTTAGTATTTAAATTTGTGCACGTCTATGCGATAAACAAGTCTCCGAGTTAAATCTGTAAAATAATAAATGAAAAACGAGATTTACTAACTACTCCGTAAACATGGCTGTAATGTTCAATCAGAATATTGCATTTCTGCCAAGGGCGCGTATATTGTGAACCCGTGATGGCTTCAGAATGTTTATAAACAATCCTGTCAATCTTGGTTAGCCATCATTGAAATAGGATTTATTTTAAATAGGCAATTCTCAGAATGACTTATAATTAGTTTTTTATCATTTCAATATTTGCCCATTTATTTTAAAAAATAAAGGCAAATAAAAGCACTAAATCGCCGTTTTAGCACCCTATTAGACTAGGATTAAAAAAAATAATTTCTTAGTACAATTGAAGACCTTGGCGTAATAAGGATACATGCCATATTGTAAGTTTTTAGAAAATGGAGTTTTAAATTTGTTTTAAATCTTTCAAATACAAATTAAAAAAAATATTTAAATATAAATATTACTAAAAATAGTGCCTATAATTCGAAATAGAGGTAAAATAATTTGTATGTGGCTAGTATCCTTATGAATAGATGTTTTGAGGTAAAATACTCACTTCAAACTAAGGGTTTTAATTTTTTTTGGCATGATTTTGATGTTTGCGCATTTTTTTATAACAAATAAACTCAAATAAATTCATTATTATCGTAGTTTTTGCGCCCCTATTGGACTTGTTTTAATTATTGAGAAATCCTCAAATACATTGCTTTATGACTGGCCATTATTTTAGCATAATTTTGAAGTCGGCCCAATTTTTTATAGCAAGTGGATAAAACCCCTGAGAGTGAGATTATTAGCAGACCTTTTTTTAGTTCTAGAGAACGGTAAGCAGATTCGAAAAACTAAAAAGTGGGCAAACATAATACGCTTATCATAATCACATTTTTGGGATTACTAATTTTTTTAACTATATGATGTGTGGAAATTTTCCCGCGAAAGGGGTGGATAAAAAAGTTATTTCATGGACAATAATGGACAAACGATGAGCAATCCTTTCACAAATTTTTACACCAATTTTGCAATGTTGTGGTGCAAAATTCACGGACTTGTTCATTATTAATGAATCATCCAATTATACATCCTTAATTTTATGAATAATTAAAGGCGTAAAATACAATAAATTCATTGCATAATTTTAATAATCTTTAACCGAGCTTTAACTAACCTGCAATACGTAAAACTGCTCTGTCAGCGCTGTCTAAAGCAAGAACTGCCAATGGTTGTTCTCTAGTCCACTCCTGTAGGGTCGGGTCCTTGTCAAAATCCATTATTCAGATCATTTTCCCCTACAATAAAAATAAAAAGTATGAGTGATACGGTCACCTAGATACGCTGAAAGTTGCGTCATACGTGTAAATAAAATATTAGAGGGTGTGTTTGAAATGTACGAGGTGAAATGTAACTTATTTTTATGACACTGGTTCATAGAATTATATTACACCAGTTATTTCTCTAAAAATGCAATACGTAGGTATATAAATATTTTAATTTATTACACATTATTTATAGTGAGCGAATAATAAACAGTACTAGTGTATGTAAAGGAGTGAAATGAACCTAAAATTTAGTCTTCTGTCTTCTGGCTACTTTTTTAACCCCTAGAAACAGGCAATCAACCACATACTTTGATTTTCTTTTACTATACGGAGAATGGTCGCACTCACTCGGACCAGCAGTTGAAAGTTCCAAAATAACATCCACTTCAGGGATACAAATTCAGGATACGCAGAAGACTGCTGTTTTATTATAGGCGGTTGTCATATATTGTATTATCTGAGTTGCGCAGTGTATAAACTGGAACATTGAGATAAAAAGTGCCGACGCAGAGTGAGCGATCTGATTCTTTAGCTATAAACTGTGTCATAGGGTTCAAAATGGCCGCGCCCTATGTTGGGCGTGTCGGACCTCTCTCTTGCCCCGTATAGTAATCAAAGTATGTGGAATCAACTCTTAATTGCGAAAAAAAAAAAAACAAATATTCCCCACTGTAGTAGGCACATGAATTTACGAGTAGATAATAGCTTTGTTCGCACAAGCAAACTTCCAACTAATAAGAATTTTTTTTGTGCGCATGTTCAAACTATTTTTGGTTTTAACCTAATTGCCAATTTTTTGTTCTGCGAACGCTTAAAAATCATTATTGACTGAATGTGCTGAAAGGTAAAGTCCCATTGAAAACTGTAAATTGTTTATAGGTTATGTTTTATTTCTTTCAATCTTGCAATTAGGCATTCCAAACTGAATGGCTACCAGTGGGTTTTGACAGGTTATGATTGGGCAAAATTATGGCAACCCTGTAGGCCAGGTGATTTGATAAGGTCAATGAAATAGATAGTTACATAGATTGATCATCCATATTTTTCAAATTAAACATAAGCTTATGCCTTGAAGTAAAAATGTAAGCTATTATTATTTTTTAAATATCTAAAGGCTGAAAATTGGTTTTAAAACACAACCGATTCAAATTAATAAATATTTTCCAGGCAATATGGCCGCTCGCAAACGACCAGCTTTGAGCAATCTATATAACTATATATATATATAAACTGTCAGTCCCCACTGGTAGCCATTTGGACAGGTCGTTGGAATGCCTAATGCTTCTCGGCAATCTCGGCTATAATATTTGAGATTTTTGAATTTGGCCTTTTTATAATTATCGTCGTTAAATAAAAGTTAAATATGTAAAAGTAAAAATGTTTATCTTAAGCAATTTACGCAAAGGAAGGTAAGTTCAGTGATATGTGTTTTAGGTAAAATACCTGTAACAATTTTGTTTGTTGTTTTAGAAACTCCCTTGGCAAACCCCACTGAGTCGTGCTCTAGGGAAGGTAGAAGTTTCATATGGACTGCTGTAACAACTCGAATGTTACTATTAAGATAAATTAATTAATTTAAAAATAATTATTTGATTTTAAACCTATGTAGCGGAAGCGCCAGTGATTTGAACGCGAGTTCATCTTTCCTTCTGTCAGTAGTGAAAATTTCATATTTTTATAAAGAGAAGCAGATTTTAAATTGCTGCAAAGCGCCTGTAGTGTTCCTAAGTTGTATCCGTGGTACCCCATTACTACAGCTGCCCCTTAAGTGAATTTATAATCAGTTGCTGAATAATCGACTGACAGGCATCTGTCACTGCCAACGCAAGGAATACCAAATATCCAGGCGGGAGCCTGGATTGTCCTCTTAATTATTACCATATGATTTTCCACGTGCCAGCAGAAAGCAAGACTAGAAGAATCCTTTAATGTTGCTTTTGACTACAAGAGCAACGATACTATACAAAGTTCCCCAACAGTAATAGACAGCGCAATGTTAGAAAACAATAGTTCAGGTACAAATTCTTACTCTGCAGTAGCCAAATGCATACCAAAACCAGTGTTCCTAAAGAGAGACCAAGCTATTTTAATTCATTCGGAACCAAATTTAGTCCTCTTCGACTACGTTAAAGCCATTGGTGATATCGTTGCCCCCAAAAATATCAGTTTGGCATCGAGAAGAATATCTAATAACCGAGTCTGTATCTATCTGTCTTAAATTGAAATTGTAGATTATCTAATTGAAAATCACCCTGCGGATAAGGCAAATTCGCCGGTTTTAGCTATAAGAAGATTGGTTATACTTGCAAAGCGTGCATTAATCTCGAATGTTAGCCCTTCCATTCCGCACGAACTGGTTGAAAAAGCATTAAGAGATTATGGGCTCCAACTAGCTTCTCTCGTTTCGTTTCTGAAGGTTGGTATACTGGGTGATGACTATTCCCATATAATAGGTTTTCGTAGACAGGTTTTCGTTATTCCTCAGTCAGAAAACCCTGTCATAATTCCGCATGATAACAATTCATTCAGAATCTTCTTATCTTTTGATAAAATGGAATTCTTTCTCTGCAAATCGATTGGTCATGTAGAAAAGATTTGTCCTAATAAAGTTGATAAGTCTGCGACCGAAGAGGATGTTCCTTTCCTTTAAATCGAGATATCCAAGTAGCACCTGCTAGCTCTGAACTATTGCCTTCATATGGTTACAGACAAAAAGACCCCATTCCGACAGCAATTCAATTATCATGCGGAAAATACAACCCAGTACATCTTTAGCTAACTCTGATAAGCCTCTTTTGGAACCTAGCAAAGAAGTGAAAAACCTACAGGTACAAAAAAGCAATCAAAAAGAAAACCAAGCACGACTCAAGCGATTCTCCTAACAATTCAAAAATATCAAATAATATAATTTCAATCATAAAGAAACTGTGCGACGAATCCCCTGGAATATTTACTCTCCCAATGGATTCTTTTATTGTTTTTTAGAAAATTCCTTTGGAAGTAGTAACCCTATTTTAGAAGCGTAACATTTCTCGGGTAATATTAGATCAATATTGGAAGATATGTATTGGTTATATCCGCAATTAACGGAACGGTCCTTCAATAGGTTATCTAAAAAACTAAGCGTAGCTGTGGCTTAAACTTGAATAATTCAGATGTATAAAGCATAACATCGCAGTCTCTCAATGATGAAGATTTTCTTTCTTTGTAAATTTTGAGAAATTCACGTTAATACAATGGAATCGCGACGGGTTCTATCCCCGTTTGGAACGAATTCAACAGTTAATAAATGATACTCAAGCGGATATCATTTGTTTACAAGAAACTAATTCTAAGGATTCTCATCGTCGGCAACTTAAAAATTACAAAAGTTACCATTTCCTAAAACCTGTATTTAATCAAACTAGTGACGGAACTTCTATTTTTATTTCAAGTGATATCTATTCCTCTCATTCTCTATTAATTAACTAATCTAGAAGCTATATTAGTTTCCGTTTGGTATCCTTCTAAATTAACCATCTGTAATATATACATTCCTCCCAATTACAACTTATCTGAAGAAGATCTATTTGACCTAATACATCAGCTTCCTAGTTCATTGATAGTGCAAGTATACAAAAGGAAAGTAATAGAAAATGTATTAAATTACTCCAACGCTCATTTATTAAATACTGGCTTTAGTACATATTTTAACATTTGTAACGGTTGAAACCGTTTTCGTTATTTAGACCCAAACATTGTAACGGTCTATTAACAGGGCATTGTAGGCTTAACAAACATATGTTCAATATCGGTCTGACAGAAGAGGCCTTGTGCCGATTCTGTCAAGAAGAAGAGGAAACGGCAGAACACGTATTGTGCTACTGCGAAGGTCTAGTAAGACTGAGATTCCTTACACTTGGAGAAGAAAAACCAAGGGCAACTAGCTATACCGGAGAACTACTTTCCAGTCTATGGAGTTTACTACAAAAGACCGCATTAGACAAGGTACTCTAAACAATGATTAAAGGATATCCACAATAGATCTGAAAAGGTCGAGGTGGGGGAGGCCACATGGCCCATAGTCCTAATTAAATCTAATCTAATCTAACGGTCGGAACCGTTTTCGTTATTTTGACACCAACATCTCTACACAAATGTCATTTGTCGTTTATGCCTTATGTCTAAAGTTGGTAATTCATTTCGATTTATATCTGTCAACGAGGAAGTTGATTTAAATTTTTAATTATCTTTTATCTTGGATATCCGATGTACTAATTGGCTTTAATATTTTTAATGACCGTCTGATTTTAAAAAGGTAAGTTTCCTACCGATATTTTGTTGAAAATATATATTTAGTACAAGAGTTTCTTGAATGAAATATAAAATTTTAAACATAACCTCAACACATTGGATAACACATGATAAAACGTTTTGTATGGTTTTAATATTATTTTGTTTGAAAGAGATAATATGCTTTACTATATTTAAATATGTTAAATAAGATTTTTCCTTTTCATATTAATTTTGGTCTCTGTGAAGCTATTCATTTAATACTTTAAATTGTTCATTTAATAGTAAAACGCATTTTATCTGTATCCTATATAAACTTCCTAGCCCCTTTCGTGATATTTCTACCTTTTTCCTTGTAGCCTCGCTGTATCTAGACGGTTCTGTAGGAGTTATATCTAAAGAGATTGTTTAGAAGTTTAGAAGAAAGTTCAAGCTGCATGTTTTGATGTTTAGAAGAAAGTTCAAGCTGCATGTTTTGATGTTTAGAAGTATAGAAACTTAGAAGTTTAGTTCCAGCTACAGAAGTTTATTTCAAGTATATCAAGAGGTTTAGTTCGAGTCGTCTAAAGAAGTTTATGAGATTTAAGTTTACCTATGAAGATTTATACTTAAAAGTTGGTGATATCCGAAGTATCTCATACGAATCTCCTTGAAGAAGGCCTCTACAAGTCTAAATATTACCTCTTATTCAACAGATAAGTCATTTTTGAATAAATCATTTAAATTTGAATAAGTAAGTCTCTGTGAATTAGAATTTGTTGCTACCTTATCTGAAACCTTATTTAATTATAATATCTTAATGGTTAGTGATTTTCTATATTTTTATCATTAATCGATAGTCAAGTTTAGTAAGTTTTAAATATAGTTGCGCTCAACATTCTTTTTCAAAGTAATACGAGTTGTTTAATAACCTGACCCACTCCCCAAAATCATAAGAGCTTAAACACTATAAAAATAGATAAAATAACAAGATCACGTTACACATTTTCTCTAGCACCTTTTCCTCTATTGACTTATTAAGGTTTTGTGATCCTAAAGCAGCTCTCACACTTTCTTGGCACGTGGTAGATAGTTTCTATGATAGCAACCACTTTCCAATAAAAATCTCCAATAATATACATAAAGCTACTGAAAGTATTACAAAATGGAGACTCATTCCGACTGGGTAATGTTCAATGCACATATTGAATTTCAGTTAGAAAATTTGCAGTTTGTGGATAATATAGATGAATCGTTAGAACTACTTAATTATTGTATTATTTCTTCTGCTAACATGTACATCGGCAAATCTATCATATCAACCTCCAAAAAAACTAGTTCCCTGGTGGAATAATAACTGTCAGACAGCAGTCCGGGAGTGTAAAACTTCCTTAAATAGATATCGTAGTGTTGGATTTTGAAAACTAAAAATCCATCTGCGCCACTGATTCCTAACTCTACCTTTTAGAGTAATAAATATATTCCCTATCTGTCTGATCGGGTTTCAGATTAAATCTACCACGTATTTCCAAAAAAAAAAGCTAACCCGATTCCCGATCAGATAGTCAGTAGTACCCCGCTACTCAAAGATGAATGGTGTTATTTTGTGTGCTGTCGGTGGAGACACTAAAATGTTTGTTTAACAACCCATATGTTGTGTTTTTTGATTAAGGCATTTAGTATGCCTTTATGTTAAATCTCTCTTTCTAAGATTTATACGAGCCCATGTAAGGCTCAATTACATATTTTAACTAATTTAAATAAAATCAGTGCTGGAAGTGATACATGTAAGTTTTTTGACTATTTTTCTTTTATTTAATTTTAAGGAGACAAGACATTTCAGCGACATTTCAGCGACATTTCAGTTATTTTTTTTTTATCATTATAGGTATATTGTGAGAAGTCTTTCTGACTTCTCTGTTTTTTAAATAAATCGTTTAGTATGTGTATGACTTTTATTCGTGGGAAAGTTGTGAGTTCTACACAAACAATTTGCTCTTCTCTATTGGATAGGGCGGAAACTTTTCGAAGAAGTAATATCCTTCACCATTACTATACAATCCACTTACTTTCCACCCTCTCCAATATACGTAGAACTAGAAACATAGAAAATGTTGTACTTTTTAAGAAAATGGGAGCTAAGGCTAAAGTTGTCCTCAAAGTAAAAAGGACTCTTGGAAAAACTTTAACTACGGAAAATAAACAAGAAAAAATATTTAATTAAATTTGTCCCCATCCTAGATTTGAACCTGGGTCTTTCGCATGAAAGGCAAGTGCTCTGCACATGGATTTGTATATCTTATATCTTACATTACTTCATATAATTTTTTAAATTAACGAATTATTTCTAATTATAGACGAAATAAAAAATAGAAATGCTGTTATTTATCGATTCTTCACAAGAAAAACTCATTTTAATGTATATTTAATCTCAATAGCTAAAAATTATACTGACAATTAGTTTGACAGAATTGTCATTTATTTAAATTATAAAAACAATAGTAGTCGATTGACCAAAATTTGAACTGTGAGTGGTAGATTTAATTTTATTGCAGTGTTCTCACTACCTCGAATGGATATGAAGTATATTCGTTCAGTTGAACGCAATGACATACTTTTTCGTTTTGTAGTCTGTGCGTAGATAAGCTAATATCCATGTGGGCACAGAAAAAATAGTTTTCGGTATTTCCTAGGGGTAATTTTGAAATATTTATTTGAGGAGTCTCCATGAAAGGAGTAGGAAACATTTATGCAGCTGAGTAATCTTTAAGACTAAAATATCAAACATACATTTAAATATTTACCTAATAAATAGATACCTAATCTTTGAAATTATTTTTTAAATAGGTAGGTACTAACCTTAGAATAACAGATATGAACCTTTATCCTTATTATTTACAAATAAAGTCATAATATATTTAATATGACATCATTTAAGTTATATATCTCATCCAGTACGAACATATTGTAGATAATAATGCGAAAAAAATTGAAAAATTTTATTTTATCATTCTTGATACGTAAGAACATCAATCAATCAATCAATCATTGTTTGTTTTTTCGAGTGAATATTCATAATATATTTTTATTTGTGATTGATTGTATTTAATATAATTAACAAGATTCTTAACAGTGGGGTTTCAAAAATATAGTCCATTAAAAAAGATGTTCTAGTTAAAATCTGAGAACAATAAAATTAATCAAACTAACATTCTGTTATATGGATGTAAAAGGCCCCCTGTTATGCTGGTTTATACCAAGTTGATTTACCTGAAAATTAGATATAATGCACAATCTATTACAATTTGATTATGTTAGACAAATTTTTTAAAAAGTGATATTATATTTCTTATAATATAATCTATACAGTATTTTCTATCCTAGAAACAAAATCTGTAT